TGGCACACATACTTGGACCTGACGCGACAGCACATCTCGGTCCTGCAAGGAATGCAGGAGAGAATCACACAGAGGATGCAGGCAGAGGCAGAATGGCACAGTCGCTTGCTGGACGAGTTTGTCCAGCAGCGCACTGCAATTTGCGCTGGTATCTGGGAGGTGATGGCCTTCCTCGGTCCTGTGCATGTTCCTGCTCCTCCTGATCAACCTGCCTCCCCCCCACCTCCTGTCCCCCCTTCACTCCCTGCCATCCCAGACCCACATGTGGCCCTACCTCCTGCCTAGCCCCCTACTGTCCCAGTCCACATGCACGGCCATCTCCGAACAGGCTCACCCGAGGTGGCAGGAGCTCCTCATCCAGGCAGCACCCTCAGCCCCGAGCCTCTCTTCCCCCTTCCAGGTTTACATCCCCCTTCCCACCTGTGAAAGTCAGTAAGAGAAGCACTTTGCTTTGTTAACAAAAAGTTTATTTTTCTTTACAAAACAGTTATATAGGTTTTGTAACATACAACAGTGCAATGAACTGTAAGCATTTTGTCAAGCACACCTGTCTCTTATCTGTGTGAATGTGTACAACATGGGGCAGGGTTGGGTTCTGGGGGGGAAGGCACTGGGGGCATGGGACACACCCACATTTGGAAGGCCCTGGGGAAACTCATTGGGCTCCTTGGGAGAATCTCTCCGTCAGGGCTTCCTGAATGCACAATCCCAACTGGTGGGCTTGGCGGAAGGCAGCTGTCCGGGGATGCTCAAAATGCTTTTCCTCCACATCAGCCCGTGTCCCGCACCCTGGGAGGAAGGCCTCCCCTTTCCTCTCCACCTGGTTGTGCAGCACACAACAGGCAGCAACCACTTTGGAGATGTTGCATTCCCCCATGTCCAGCCAAGTGAGCAGGCATCTAAACTGGCCCTTCAGATGGCCAAAGACGCACTCTACCTGGAAGCGAGCCCGATTCAGGTGGGAGTTAAACAGTTCCCTGCTCGCATCCAGGTGTCCACAGAATGGCTTCCTGAGCCAGGGCATTAGGGGGTACGCGACATCGGCCACGATGCACATGTGCAGATGCCTATCACCGACTGAAAAGTTTTGCTCCGGAAAGAACGTCCCAGCCTGCAGTACATGAGGAAGTCCTCCCCTTTCCTCTCCACTAGGTTGTGCAGCACACAGCATACTGCAACCACATCAGGGATGTTGTGTTCCCCCATGTCCAGCCGAGTGAGCAAGCATCTAAATCTGCCCTTCAGATGGCCAAAGGCGCACTCCACCTGGAAGTGAGCCCGATTCAGGCAGGAGTTACAGTTCCCTGCTCGCATCCAGGTGGCTGGTGTAGGGCTTCATGAGCCAGAGTATAAGGGGGTACGCCACGTCGGCCATGATGCATGTAGGCATGTGTACATCCCTAACTACATAGTTCTTCTCCGGAAATAGTGCCCCAGCCTGCTGTATAGGTAGGAGTTCTGGACTATGCGGGCATCGTGTGCCCGGCCTGACCACCAGACACAAATATCTGTGAATGGTCCCTGGTGGTCAACCACAGCCTGCAGCGCCATGGAAAAGTAGACCTTTCTATTAATATACTGTGCTCCTCGATGGGGTGGTGCGCTGATCGGTATGTGAGTCCCATTGAATGCTCCACCACAGTTCGGAAAACCCAGCCGTGCAAATCCGGCCAAGATGGTCTCCAGGTCTCCGAGGCGGACAGTCCTGTGAAGCAGCTGCGAATTGATGGCCATCACCACCTGGAGAAAGAGACAAATACAAACACACATAACAAGACATTAGAGGAGTTGCATGAACTGATGAGAGGTGCTCCCCCACCCCTCCCCTCCCAGACCCAGAGTCCCGCCTCAGGCAACCCCCCCATTTCCCCCGCACCACCGCAGGGTGAGGCCAGGCAGGCGTCTACCACTGCCCAGTCCTAACCATTCCCCTTATCCACTCGCCCTCGCCCCCATGGACTGTCCCCCGAGACTGACTTACCTCCATCAAGATGGCCCCAACAGTAGATCTCCCCTCGCCAAACTGGTGTCCCACCGAGCGGTACCTATCGGGGGTGGCCAGCTTCCAGAGGGCAATAGCAACCCGCTTCTCTAGGGGGATGGCAGGCCGCAAGTGGGTGTCCTGGTGTTGTAGGGCAGGGGCGAGCCAGGCACACAGCTCCTGGAATGTGCATTTCCGCAAATGGAAGTTTCGAAGCCAAGCCTCGTCGTCCCACTGCTCCCTAACAAGATGGTTCCACCAGTCTGAACTGGTGACCAGCCTCCAAACTCACCTCTCCAGGAACAAGAGGTGCAGCTCGAGTGAGGGGCTCAAAGCTGGGCTCTGAATCCAGCTCTGCCATGAACATGATGATGGTCTCATGAACATGCAGCAGAACTTCCAGCATCACAGTATGGGGCCATCGCCTGCCATGGGGCAGCTCCGGCTCCATGGCCAAAAAAACAAAAAACAAAACAAAACAAAAACAAAACCAAACAACCACACAAACACAATTGAAAGCACAAAAACCAACCAGGAAACAAAATGCTGTGGTGTCCCACAAAGCAGAGCACTCAAGGCAAGCACTGCAGAAGCTTTGCATTCCCCTAGGAGGTAGGCAAGCCAGCTGCAGAAGCAGAGCGACGGCTATTTAGGAGGATCCCTTAAAGCACACATCTCTGCAAAGAGCATGCTGCAGTAAAGGCTGCCCCCATGGCCTGGCAGAAATGCTTCCAGGTGCCCTTTTTTCGCTTTTTCAATCTGCTCAGTGCAACCTAGACGCTTTTTTTCCCCAAAAGAGGCTTTTTCGAAAGATACTTTTGAAAAAGCCTCTGTCGAAAAAGGCATGTAGTCTAGATGTGCCCTTTGTGTCTAAGTGTTACAGCATATATAGTTCATAGCGACACACACATGGCTCAGGACCCTTTGCCAAACTTATGCTTAAGAGAAAAAGGGAAACTGGCATTTAATTTTGAAATTTCTTGATTTATTAGTGTAATAAATTCTGCCCAAGAACAATATGAAAGAGGGTGCACAAATAGGTTCCAAAAGACTCCTTGTTAGTTACAGTTTACTGTGTAGTATAGGATGGACCTATAGCTTATGGCCCTGTCCAGCTAAACAGGTAAGAGCAAAATCTAGCCCTACGGAAAACATATTCTTTCCCACACAGACTGCTGAAGGTACATGAAGCCTATGGTTCATCTCCTTCTTTCAAGAGGAAAAACAAAAACCTAGAAAAATCTGTATAACCCTCTACTTGCTCATCACTTGTGATTTCAGTGTTCAGTGTTGATCTCTCTGAAACACTGCAGAGTTAAAACAGAATTCAGCAATTAGCTTTTTTTGACACAGAACTAATAGGAAACATGATGCAAGAGTGACTTAAAAA